CTACACTAAGAAAATACAGTCAACCTGTGGAACTCCTTGCCAGATGATGTTGTGCAGACCAGGACTTTAACAGGGTTAAAAAAAACTAGATACATTAATGAATCATAGAATCATAGAATACTATGACTGGAAGGGACCTTGAGAGGTCATCGAGTCCAGTCCCCTGCCCCCATGGCAGGACCAAATACTGTCTACACCATCCCTGATAGACATTTATCCAACCTACTCTTAAATATCTCCAGAGATGGGGATTCCACAACCTCCCTGGGCAATTTATTCCAGTGTTTGACCACCCTGACAGTTAGGAAATTTTTCCTAATCTCCAACCTAAACCTCCCTTGCTGAACTTTAAACCCACTGCTTCTTGTTCTATCCTCAGAGGCCAAGATGAACAAGTTTTCTCCCACCTCCTTATGACACCTTTTTAGATACCTGAAAATGGCTCTCATGTCCCCCCTCAATCTTCTCTTTTCTAAACTAAACAAACCCAATTCTTTCAGCCTTCCCTTCACAGGTCATGTTTTCTAGACCTTTAATCATTCTTGTTGCTCTTCTCTGGACCCTCTTCAATTTCTCCACATCTTTCTTGAAATGCGGTGCCCAGGACTGGACACAATCCTCCAACTGAGGCCTAACCAGCGCAGAGTAGAGTGGAAGGATGACTTCTCGTGTCTTGCTCACAACAAGGTCCATCAATACTCATTAGCCAGGATGCATAGGAATGGTGTCCCTAGCCTTTGTGAGAGGCTGGAAATGGATCACAGGAGAGGAATCACTAGACAGTTACCTGTTCTGTTCACTTCCTCTGGGGCATCTGGCATTGGCCATTGCTGGAAGATTATTCCTCTTTATTTGCCACTGGCAAGGCCACATCTGGAGTACTGCATCCAATTCTGAGCTCCCCATTACAGAAAGGATGTGGACGCATTAGAGAGAGAGTTCAGTGGAGGGCAACAAAAAAGATAAGGAGGCTGGAGCACATGACTTATGAGGAGAGGCTGAGAGATTTGGGCTTATTTAGTCTGCAGAAGAGTGAGGGAGGATTTGAGAGCAGTTTTCAACTTCCTGCAGGGAAGTTCCAAAAAGGATGGAGAGAGGCTGGTCTCAGTGGTGGGCCCTGAAGTTTTCTTACTGCCTTAGAAATAAAGTAATGTCAGGCCACTGGACTGACCTAAAGATTGATATTAACATTTAATACCCCTCATATATTAAATCTATTAGAATGCATACTTTGGTTTGAAATAGCTTTGTTTTCCACATTTAATCTATGGAGATATACCCATCTCCTAGAGCTGGAAGGGACCTTGAGCGGTCATTGAGTCCAGTCCCCTGCTCTCGTGGCAGGACTAAGTACCATTCCTAACAGATTTGCCCCAGATCCCTCAATGGCCCCCTCAAAGATTGAGCTCACAGCTCTGGGTTTAGCAGGCCAATGCTCAAACCACTGAGCTATCCCTCCCGCAGAGCCCTGGTTGGAATGATTTGGTTGGGGTTGGTCCTGCTTTGTGCAGGGGGCTGGACTCGATGACTCCCGAGGTCTCTTCCAGCCCTAGAATTCTATGAGTCTATTGTATGATTCTATGGCAGGACACTGGGCTAGAAGGACCTTTGGTCTGACCCAGTGCGACTGTTCTTATGAATTCGCCTTTGGCCACCTGCAGCTGGAGCCTGTCCATTTTGCATTGCCTCAGCACTGGAAGTTTTGCACTGCCTAGGCTGCGCGAAGGGGTCTTGGACCAGAAAGAGTGGCCTCTGAGCTTGGTTTTGTTAAGTGTTGTTAATGCTGCAAGTCTTCTCCTTAGTAGGGGCTTCATTTAAGTACCGACGTTGTTAGATCTCACCACACCTGAAACCAGAGGACTTGGAGCGCTAAGCAGCAAAATAGACCCCACGGGGGGAGATGCTGGGGAGGAAGCTATCTGAGCTCAGTGGGGGCAAGACTCTTTGAATACTTTGTTTCTCCACAACACCCCCCCATACCAAACAGGCTAATAGCAGAGTAAGGACAAAAGAGCTAATGAACCAGCACACTGAGATACCAGATATGACAGACCTAGCATACCGTGAAGAATGGCCATGATGGTGAAGGGGAGACCAGTTTCTCTGACTTGCTCAAACCAGATTTTCTCTATGTTCAGTGAACTGTCGCTAAGTAACCGGCATGTATGTCCTTGCTGGAGCTCTCTGGATGAGAATTCCAAAACGAGATGAGAGTTCGGTGCCTGGGGCCCTCCGCTGATTGGTTCCCAGCCTCAGCCCTCTGCCGGGGCTGTTTTAACCCTTTTCACTCCAGTGCAGGGAAACTGCCCCGTCCATGTCCTTGAAGAATCTCTTAGAAGATTCAGAGAGCAAACATGGGGCCCGACATAAGTTGATGAAAACTCTTCATCTTCTCGGATTTAGAATGTGGACACTTCCTCTGGGCTAACTAATATTTTCCTGTGGCTAGTGTCCGTAGCAAGTGCAGATGCTGTGTGCTTGCATCTCTGGCAATCAGATCTGATGCGCATCGGGTGGGTGTGGGAGCCAGAGCACCCATATCCAAATGACTGTTTCTAGCACACTAACACAAGCCTTGCTAGCATGAATGTGTCTACAGGGCTGGGAGGCTTGTTCCCATCGGAAGTGTAGATAGAACCTGTTTGTCTCAAGTTCGCGCCTCTCCCCATAATAGACCATTTTTGGGACTTCAACCTTGCACATAGCAAGTCCTTGTCAAAACTGCAATGTCTAGATGTGAAGCCAACAGAGCCAGGTCATGGGCAGGAGGGATTGAACCTGGGACCCTGGAGGCTAAACCCATGAGTCTACAGCATGAGCTAAAAGGCAACAAGCACTTAGCCGAAGCTGCAGAGTAGACTTTATGCTCAGTGCGTCTTGCCTACATTTATTTGGTCTCTGCCTCCCTATCTTGTACCCCATCCATAAGAACATGCGGACTGTTAGGCCACTGAACCCATCTCTCTCTGTCAGGGCAGTGGGAACCGATCGAGGATGTATCACAGAAACATGAATCCAAGCCGGGAAGGTGGAAAATCTGGCTTGTATTCCCAGCTCTGCTGCTGACGTCGTGTTTGGCTTTGAGCAGTCACTGAACCTCTTGATGCTTCAATATCCATGTCTGTAAAAGAGGGATGTGAATGTTTAACCGTGTAAACGGTTAACTGCTAAGCCTGAACTTACTGGTTAATGTTCACGGTTACACGCACGCTCCTGCCGTGCTCCTGGAGAGTTGGCTGCCACCTTGTGCTGCTGCCCCTGTATCAGAGGCAGCAGTGTGGGGCTGGCAGCCAGCCTCCTGGAAGTGGGGCAGCAGGCAGGAGCCAGTGTGTACCAGGAGCCAGCTTAAAAGCTGGTTACCAGCATGCACCAGCTCCCAGCCGGCCTCTTGGGAATGGGGCAGCAGATGGGAGCCCATGAACCAGCTCCTGGAAAGCCTACTGCCACCCTGCTTGATTTTCAGCAGTTCCACATTTACTCAATTACACACATTTTAACATCCCTACTGTAAAACAGAGCTTTGGGAAAGTGAGTGATCACATTAGAATTGCAATATGCTTTTTGTGCCATAAAGGACAAGTGTCTCCTATTGTGATTTATTCCCTGTAGCATAGTTATTTTCTAAAAGAAGGTCGCTCGAAAGTTAGGCAGCTGTGTGTGGTGTTTAGAGTTGCCAGATGGTTTCAACAAAAATACCAGACACACTTGACATGACATCACAATCTACATTACATCTTATGCTCGTGGGGAAGTGGGTTCTGCCCACGAAAGCTCATGACATTATAGATCTGGTTTTGGAGGCTCTAAGGTGCTACCGGACTACTCCTTGGGTTTTTTGTTTTTTTGTTAAAGCAGTTCACTGTTTATTTGAGAAACAAATACACGCTAGTTCCATTAGGCAGTAAATGCTCTAAAGGGTTAATATTGTCCTGCTCTTGTTCCTGCCTCCCTTCTAATTGCTTTCTGTTTCTCTCAGGCGGAAGTTGTAGAGAGCAGCTGAAGTTTAAGGGTGGTTTTTTTTGGTTTTGTTGATTTTTTTTTTAAAGTCTAGCTACTGAAAGTAGGAGACATTACCCTGAAACTGTCAAAGCAGGGAGGGTCCAATACACACAAAGCAAGCTCAGGAGCAGAGCTGAAAAGATGACAAAAGAATCCGATGGGAAAGATTCCGTTGTCTATTACTACTGCATCAAATTTGCCCTCTCTGCCTATTCCACCTTGTTTTCGGTAGGTGTTTGTCATTTCCAACTTTTACGTGGTCTCTGGGAATTAACACACAATACCTGCTTTGTGGTATGTTTTACTTTCTGTTCTTTACAGCTTCACCCTCTGAAATATAAAATCTACCAGTCAATAACGCTGTCTGGAATTGGACTGCATTGTAGGAGGTGTACCCACTTGTGCTGCTAGGATTCTGGTTGTATTTAATACACAACAATGTCCATTTTGATGGATTTAATATTCCTTTTCTTTGATCTCTTCCCCTCTCCGTCCTCTTTTGCATAGATCATATCAGACAAACCTTTGTTTTAAAAACACAAATTACTTAGGGACTCTAATGGTGCAAACATTTACTATTCCCAACTATATGGTCTGTACTCTGCATCCGCCTCCATGCTTAAAGCTTTGTCACTTTTAGTGGAAATCAGGCAGGAATGGGGCATGAGATCTGCCAGCTGCTGAGGGGTTGTGGTTTTGGCTAGACTTGTCCTTTTTAATTTTTTTTTTAAATCTCCATGTAATCGGCAGAATTGTGAAGCTGTTAGTCATTAATGCAAACCTCAGGTCTGCTCTGCTAGTGTCACACAGACCTGGAGTCAAATCTGAGAAGTGTTGCAAAGCTATGCAAATGAGAGGCAGGGAAAATTCACAGAGTCTCTGCAAACAGGCTGCAGAACAGCAAGTGAATACACGAATCCCGTTTAGACATTGGGCGTTGCAATATTGCCTGTGTAACCCTGTTATAATTGTCATTCAATGAGAATATGTATTGTGAAGTTAGTTCTTTTGGAACCAATCATAGAGATTATTTGTAAATATTTGACCATTTTGACGAGTCATTTTCATCTTATGAATTATTTCCCACTATTCAGCATTGTTAGGCTGCCCTTAGTCACATGGTATTGTGTTAGCTCCCTGATTTGCTGACTCAAACAGGAATACAAACAAATACTGGCCTTTTGAGAATGCCTTTTTGATGAATGAACTCCGCAATGTTTGCCTGAAATACACACCCTGTTAGCAGGTGCTGATCCTGCTGGGAAAAAGCTATGTGAGTTCTAGAGTTTCACTGAAGCCAGCTCTCCATTAGGGGAAGATTGAATCAAGATACACAACTCCAGCTATGTTAATTACGTAGCTGGAACTGACATACCTTGTTTCTGTCTGCACAGTGGGAGGCCGATGGGAGCAAACACTCCTGTCGGCTACCCTTACTCCTCACAAAAGCAGGAGTACTGGCCACTGACTGGGGTGCCCTCTGAGTTTGACTTAGTGCGTCTTAACTAGACCCACTAAATTGAACTCTGGAAGACTGATAATGGCAGCGTCCGTCTTGCGTTTAGTAAGGACAAGGCCTGAGTGACTTGAGACTTTCCCTAGATGTAAAGGAGTGGGAATGAAAAAAGTATCTTGGTCTTGAGGGAGCAGTCCTATAAACAGTCGAGTCTCGAGAAGGGAGGACAAGCTCCAGCGTATAGATTGTGTCTTTACATCAGCTCATGAACGAGAGATTCTGGGATAAGAATATATCCAGGATGTCAATGTCTTGATAAAGCAGCCAGATGCAACGTGCATCATTAGAGTTTCCTAACACCTTTGAAACCCCAGCAAATACACCAAAATTCACAGACCGTTTAAGTCAATCGAAGCCAGCGTTTGAGTGAGCGTAGGCTGGCTTGTGAGCTATGGGAAGCAACAGAACAATACTCAGTGGATTCAGCTAATCTGTCCTAAATTGTAAGTGGTTTCTCTGGTGTTCTCTTTTGCATTTTTGTGGCTTATTCGAAACCACAATTTGGGCAAGGGCAGGAGGGAAACCAGAAATACAAGTGGGTGGTTTGCAGAAATCTCAGAAACCGAAACCAGTGAATCTGGTGAAGTGACCAATATTCTGGGTTCGCTTTCTGTTAGTTTATAAAAGATTGGAACTTATCATTATCCGCCTACAGTCCCCAGGAGCCTGTTCAATTTCTTGGAAGAGATCCGGTGTAATAGACAGCATCCTGAAGACTGACTGCAATGGGACACTAGGGCTGATAGAAGAATCTCTGCCATCACCTATATAGCTAGTTTTTAACCTACATGAACCTCAAGCGTATAAGCTTTGTGCTCATTTTCCCCCCTCCCACCAAATAACTTGGCTCATCTTCATGACAAAGCTTTGTAAACCTTGGTGAAATGGCTGTTGACTAAGCTTAGGGTTTAACTGGAAACTGAAAACCAGGTGGGTTTTGCCTGGTGTGGAGTTTCTTCCAACTCCAAACCAGGAAAACAACTGCATTGAACAGTTCAAGTCATGAGGCGGGTATATTTTTCCTCCAAGCAAACTCAATGGCTGCGTCTAGACTGGCAAGTTTTTCCGCAAAAGCGCTTGCTTTTGCGGAAAAACTTGCCAGCTGTCTACACTAGCCGCTTTGAATTTGCACAAGAACACTGATGATCTAATGTAAGATTGTCAGTGTTCTTCCGCAAATACAATGACTCTCCCGTTCGGGGAAAAAGCCCTCTTGCGCAAATGCTTTTGCGCAAGAGGGCCAGTGTAGACAACTGAGAACCGTTTTGTGGAAAAAAGCCCCGATGGTGAAAATGTCGATTGGGACTTTCTTGCACAAAATCGCGTCTAGATCGGCATGGACGCTTTTCCGCAAAAAGTGCTTTTGCGCAAAAGCATCCGTGCCACTCTAGACGCTCTTTTCCACAAATGCTTTTAACGGAAAACTTTTCCGTTAAAAAGCTTTTGCAGAAAATCATGCCAGTCTAGACGCAGCCAATCAGTATTTCCTTTTACACTGTAAATGTTCCTGAATTATAGGTTTCATTAAGCACAATATAAAAACCAAACATTATTGAGCTATCTATGGGGTCGTCAGGCCAGGCCAGCTTAGCTATGGATTCTAGTATTTTATGATGTTGACAAAGAGGAAAGCGAGCTGCTCTCCATGCTTGTGAGAGAAATATCTGTCTGCAAGGAACAGAGAAAAGGTGATTTCACATGGCCTAAGAAAGGAAATCACGGAAAAAACGGAATCACTTTCAATCCCTCCCAGCTGGTGACTCAGTGGTGATTCAGCCATTACCAATCTCTAAATTCCCTGAGAGATAGTTTTTAAACTGCTCTACCTCAGACAAGTCATTGGCCCCCCATCCATTCTGGGAAACGTATTTTACCTTTTCTGTGACTTATGCAGTTCTTATCTGCAAATCCTTCATTTTACAAATCCTGTGGCACTCAGAGCCATTCACAGGGTAGGAAAATCCTGCTAAGATTGGAACTTTTCTGCTGGAAAACAGACAACTATGGGGGGATATACTAGAGGTCTATAAAATCATGACCGGTGTGGAAAAAGTGAAGAAAGAAGAGTTATTTACTCCTTCCCATAACACAAGAACTAGGGGCCACCAAATGAAATTAATAGGCAGCAGGTTTAAAGCAAGCGAAAGGAAGTATTTCTTCACACAATGCACAGTCAGCCTGTGGAACTCCTTGCCAGAGGATGTTGTGAAGAGACTATAACAGGGTTCAAAAAAGAGCCAGATAAATTCATGGTCCATCAATGGCTATTAGGCAGGCTAGGCAGGGATGGTGTCCCTAGCCTGTTTGCCAGAAGTTGGGAATGGATGACGGGGGATAGATCACGTGATGATTCCCTCTTCTGATCATTTCCCCTGGGGCACCTGGCATTGGCCACTGTCGGAAGACAGGATACTGAGGTATATGGTCCTTTGGTCTCACACAGTATGTCTGTTCTCATGTTAGGAAAACACACATTCTTTTTTCCAGTTGTTTCTACCTTTTTACAGGCAAAGTTGCTTATACCAATAACAGTTTTCAAGTACCTAAAAGGGTGTTACAAGGAGGAGGGAGAAAAATTGTTCTCCTTGACCTCTGAAGATAGGGCAAGAAGCAATGGAGATAAATTGCAGCAAGGGAGATTTAAGTTGGACATTAGGAAAATCTTCTGAACTGTCAGGATGGTTAAACACGCGAATAAATTGCCTAGGGAGGTTGTGGAATCTCCGTCACTGGAGATATTTATGAGTAGGTTAGATAGATAGACATCTGTCAGGAATGATGAACTTTAATAAAGACAAATGAAAAGTGCTCCATTTAGGAAGGAACAATAAGTTTTCACACATATAGAATGGAAAGCAACTCTCTAGGAAGGAGTACGGCAGAAAGGGATCTAGGGGTGGACCACGAGCTAAATATGAGTCAACAGTGGGATGCTGTTGCAAAAAAAGCAAACATGATTCTGGGCTGCATTAAAAGGTGTGTTGTGAGCAAGACACGAGACGTCATTCTTCCGCTCTACTCTGCACTGGTTAGGCCTCAGTTGGAGTATTGTATCCAGTTCTGGGCACCGCATTTCAAGAAAGATGTGGAGAAATTGAAGAGGGTCCAGAGAAGAGCAACAAGAATGATTAAAGGTCTAGAGAACATGACCTGTGAAGGGAAGGCTGACAGAATTGGGTTTGTTTAGTTTAGTAAAGAGAACATTGAGGGGGGACATGATAGCAGTTTTCAGGTATCTAAAAGGGGGTCATAAGGAGGAAGGAGAAAACTTGTTCAACTTGGCCTCTGAGGATAGAACAAGAAGCAATGGGCTCAAAGTGCAGCAAGGGAGGCTTAGGTTGGACATTAGGAAAAAGTTCCTAACTGTCAGGGTGGGCAAACACTAGAATAAATTGCCGAGGGAGGTTGTGGAATCCCCATCTCTGGAGATATTTAAGAGTAGGTTAGATAAATGTCTATCAGGGATGGTCTAGACAGTATTTGGTCCTGCCATGAGGGCAGGGGACTGGACTCGATGATCTCTCGAGGTCCCTTCCACTTCTAGTGTTCTACGATTCTAGTCTGCTAATATTAAACCATTCTAAACCAGAATGGCACCAGCCCCGTGTAAGGGATGTTCAGCACCAAGGACAATAGGTCTCTAATTCTGATTGTGACCGCTGGGTGCTTATGTATTACAAAGAATAATCCATTTTGACTGAAATTTTCAGAC